GAGAATCTGTCGAATTAATTCACTCCATGATAATTAGGAATAATGTCAAACAACTCAATTTTAATTAGAGTCAGATCCATTTGCCATACACACTTGGCATTAATTAAAAGAAAAAATAATAATAATAACAACCAGCCAAAAATGAATAAAATTTATATGTAAATACGTATCCAAAGAGCTCTTTGCGATTTCACTTTCGATTGACAGCTAAATTGAAGACTATTATCAGTAGGCACAAGTTAGGGGGTGACATTAAGTTTCATTTTAAAGAGTTAATTGAAATTTTACGTCACTTAACAAAATGGCTTTATCTGTTTTAAGATTTTCCTTTATTTGTCACATGAGTTATACTTCGGAGGGTTTTTTGTTACTTTTTTCAGTCACAACTTGTTATTTTTGAGCACCAGACATGTATACAATACAGCATCATTAACTAAGCAACTTTGTTAGTAAAAGAAAATTATACATATTAACTTTTCTTTGACGAAACTGATAAATAGGCGAAACCCTTGAATTTAAAGTATATGTTAATACTATCATTACCCATTTTCGATTGGAAGGGGTGCTTTTTGGTTATTTTTTTCCTTTTACAATTCTATAATTTTCTATATTTCCATTAGAGTTTCAAACGAATTTTCATAATATCCGTAGAGATAGCAGCCTGCTTACTTCCAAGTGTAGACGCTGTAAGAAGACTCTCCTTAAATGTGGAATCGTTTAAGCATTCGCTACGGCTTTTGCTTTTGTGCCCCTACTCAATAACTGGGTTTATAATAAGTTTAGGACCAGTTTGATTGGGAAGCTGGGATAGCTAACCATGATCGTAACTCCATAAATACACTTGATGACATGACGCCTACGCACGACTAGTAATAGAGAGATGAAGAACATTCTTCCTTTCCGAATACACAGAGTACCACTATGACGAGTACAGGTGATACTGAATGCAATGTCTGCGCAGCCCTTTGATAGTGTCATCTTGCTTGCATCGTAATGAGATATAAATATGATAAGACGATATCTAAGATAGAACAAATACAAAGATCTATTTATCTTGCTGTCACTGTCGTCTACGAGACGAAGCGCTCATCAAATGAAAACAGGCAGGCCTAGTGCTATGATGCACTCCTCCGGACCAGAAGAGCGGGACAGTACCAAACTTTCACGCGTATCGAATACGTAAGCTTTCGTTATATATTAATAATGAAGGATTAAATAGATCTACTACTATGTTTCAAAACATTGACTAGACCTTAGATTTAGTCTAGCGAAAAAAAATTGTATTCATGAAGTAAGAAATACACGCGGTAAGTATTTTAATACTTACATCCCACTATTCTTATCTTTAGAAGTAATTCTTCACACAGGAATGGCTAGGACGGCTGAGAAAGCTAGACTAATTTCAACCCTGCCAATGATACGTACAAAACGACAGGTATGATCATAAATCAGTAAACATCTTTTTTTTAGTAAGGCTAAAGTAACATAGAGTGAGTTGAATATCACCGAAAATAAAGGTCTGCTACATCACGGGTGAAGTTTATCATTGTTGCGTGTAATCGACAATTCACCTGGAGTCCAAATCCCGAAAACCAATCCGTTTGATATTTTGCAGTGTCTCACCAGCGCTCTACTCAACTTTCGCACATTTAAGCCTATTCACTGTTTTCTCGTATTTGTTCTTGCCTGCTGACCCGCTTGCCCAATCTCTTTGATGGAAATACTATAACGAGCTGCATCGAACTTAACTCAGAGATCCCACGTGCCCTCGTCAACGGCCACAAGGGGAAGTGATCAAAGGGAGCTGTCGCACAACGACGCTCCCGTGCAGAGCTTGACAGACCACCGTACGTCAGCCGAGTCAAAGGAAGGACAAGCGACGGGCGAATTACGGATAGGTTTTTCGCTTAACCGTTCGTGGCAAGACACACCCGTAACCGAATTCGACTGAATACTTATCATATGTGAGCGACTGACTCGAACAAAGCAAAAAGTCCTATTATAGTTAGGAATTACAGTTGGACTCTGAGCTAATACAACGACGCGACTCCTGGGTCGTTTGCTGATTATACACCACACGAAGAAGATACTGGGATTCGAAATGTTATTATTAGACGGTCTGTTGGGTCTAGGCCACATAAAATAGTTAACCCACCAGTGTACGTAGTAAAGGCGAGCGGATGAATATAACGCTATCATGAGAACCAACTTGGGTTGTGACTATATGTTTATAACGTTTTTGTGTAGGTACGTGCGCTTGTTAGAAAACAAAACAATGGCAATTTACGTTAACATAAGCGATTGTAGGTTCAAATCCACTAGCTGAGGGCGTTCTTTAAAAAGGCTCTGAGAAACACAACGGTTGTTCAAAGGACTGAAGTTCTGTTTTGGCTGTTAAGTGCCTCTAACAAGTAGGCCCCGTTCGATTCAAGCTGGCGAGAGTAATTGTAAAATAATTTTCTGAGGCGGTTGATATATGTCCATAAGGTAACGAAAGCAGTGTTAGGTATATTCTAGTTTAGCTGATACTTTAAACAGGAACTTGCCGGTTTTAATTAGTCCGCGTGCAGATTCACTCAGCAATGCTTGTAACATGATTTATAAAACGGACATTTCTATTAATCTGCCGTAACTTACTCGCTCAAGCAGTAGGCTCGCTATACTGGACATTCAAATGGCTCAGTTTGTGTGCAGCATTATGTAGAGGAAAGGCAATTTTCATAAATTCATGAAATTATGATTTTACTGTTTAAAGTTACAATCTTCGGCTTCAACGGCCCTTCGTGCACGGTACATTGGCAACAAACAATTGTGGCCTGGCGAGCCTAACAAGCATCCGAAACACCGTTTCGATAAAATTATACTCAAGTAAATGCATTTCAGCTAAATTTTTCTATGACAATAATCGTACAGATCTAAGAAAGGCCTATGAAAGAATCCTTGAGACAACATTCTAGGATCTGTTCTTTGGTGTGTGTCCAAATGTCCGCACTGTTTTCACGTCAGTACGGAAGAAACGCACTCCATTGTAATATATATATA